TGTTATTGGGAGGCGCTGGCTGCAAACGTTGGTATCCTGAGAAACCGGGATCGCGTGGAAGTCACGGCACCGTTCCCCTGGTTTTCATCTTCATCGACGGCTTTATAACCCTCCCAGTGGGTTATTACACCGATAGCCCTGGGAAGCCATAAACCAATGCACATGTTGCCGCTCTAACTCGCGTTGCTGGTTGGGGTTTATTGCAGGTGAACGAACCAAAACTGCTCACTTCCTAAGATTTGTGGAATCCAACAATCAACCTTTATAGTGTTTTTTATGGCACCATTCAGAACTCTGTACTTTAAACTTTGTTTTAAAAAACATTATCTACATGATTTTGCAGTGAGAAAAGTGGAACACCCAGCTTCTGGGGAAATGTAAATTCTGTGAATTTTTCTCACACTGATAAATGCACATTCTAGATTTTCATGTGTTCCAGTGAGGAGAGGAAAATGTGTTTCCAATTTGACTGAATTACAAAAGCTCTGAGGTTAAGTGATTGTGTCTGGGAGAAGAGGCAAACACCCCTGCCACAGATAGTGCCATGCCAGAGTTCCTCTTCCCCCACTGTTTTGCCCTGCAGATGAAGAACATTGGGATAAAATCCTATCTAAGCCAAACTGGGACAACTGGAATGTAGCACCTGGTTATTTAGCAGAGGGGTGGATTTATTCTGGCAAATCCCTCTTTGGTACCAGCCTGTTAGACTGCTCCAGGGCAGCAAATCGACATCCACCATTGTGGGTGGTGGCAAAGCACACCACAGGGAATTTGTGGCCATGTTCCTTCTGGCCGACTTCCCCTAAATCAGTGGAGAACTAATGGGTTTTTAAATCTGACAGCGGGCAGAAATGGTGTGAAAGACTTACCCAGCCATCATGGCTGTCATGCACTCACTTCACAGAGCATGGGCCTTCAGGATGACATCAACGTCCTCCTCTTCTCTGACCACGGGATGACAGACATCTCTTGGGCAGACAAAGTGATTGAGCTGAAAAACTACATCAATATGAGTGACACCATACAATTGAAGGACCGAGGTCCTGTTGTGAGCCTCTGGCCAGTTCCAGAGAAGCACACAGAGGTAAGTGCAGCTTTTTTGTATTTATTTGGTTTTGTGTTTCCTTGGGTTTTATGACAATTAAGTCTTTTGTTTGCTCGTAACATCCAAATTCTACTCTCAGACATCTGTGCAAAAATCAGCTGGAGGCTCTTAACAGGAGTCAGACTTGGATCCTGTGACACTCTGTGATGCTGGCTTCTGAAGGAAAGTCACAGCAGGCAAATTAAAAAGCATGATCTTTTACCATTCTTTCTCAAAGAAATGTGCTTTCAAACCCCACCACTATTGATTCTGATAAACAGCTAAAAGATTTTATATTTATATATATATATTTTTTAATAGATATATATATTTTTATATATATTATTTATATATATGTATTATTAAATTTATTGACACTCTAGCTGGGATTTTAAAATTGCATGGAGGAGATCAGGCATTCATATTCTAGTAAACTCCCATAGAGTTTGAGGAATTAACTCCATTAGACTACAAGTACAAAAAAAAAAAATTGTACCATAGTCTCCTTTAAGGAATTTTGATGAATAAGCATGTTGGATTGAATCAACCATAAAAGCCCAAAGCTAGAACTGTAGGATTTTGAGTGACAAATTAAAACAATACAGAAAAAAGATTTGGAAACCACTTGAAAAGAATGAAAATGCAGCATCTGTAACTAATAGACTAGTACATTATTATTTAACCAGAAAGCAATGCTTGAGAAGTCATTATTGCTGTCCTCAGAATATAAATTAATGGATGTACAAAACTGGCAGTCCATACTCCAGGTGAATAATTTTGCTTTCTAAATTTTATTTTATCCAGTTCCAGTATATTGTAGCCTGTGCAGTTTTGTGTAAGAGAATATTTGCTATTTTTTGCACCCAAATGGGCTCTCCAGGAATTGTACAGATGTGATGTTGTGAACATTTCAAATTAGTGCCAGAACTGAACACTGCCTTAGAGGCATGCACAAGCCTATCACTCAAAGTTGGTGCAAGGATTCCAGCATTTATAGAAGCTTTCCTCAGCCTTAACTCACAGATTCCTATTTTTGTAGGCCAGACCTTCAAACAAGGGCAAGTGTAAGTTGCAACTTCACATAGGCATGGGGTTTCATCCAACAAAGCTCTTAAGCCCACACTTCTTTCTTCTTAAACAGCATAATATCCCTAAGAACACAACAGAGTTCCTCACACCATGGTTTTGCTTTCTTCTTTCATTTCTTTTTGGTACTTAACGGAGTGCTGCTTTTTTAAGCTAAGTAAGTTGATTTTATGTTTCCTGATGGCCAGATTCCTGTATTCTTAATTCATTTTAAAGAGTCAGGTTAGGAATTAAATTGAGTTGTAACATCGCAGTATCACATTTAAGACCTGTCCCATTTTGAAGCACCAGAAGTACTCATGAAACACCAGGACCACTCTCTCTGGCCGTGGTGTGAGGGTCAGGCTGGGTCCTGCATCACACCCTGGTGCCTTCCTTACAGTGACTGCATATCAGTGCAAATCTCTTGCACACATACACACACATCACATAATCAAGGAGGGGACTTGGCTAAAAGGTTAGTGAAGGACCTTTCATTCCTGTTGCATTCTTTGCTACTTATTCCTGAAGAATATTTATATTTAAGCAAAAGAGTGATATAAGCTCTGAGAACTCCACTAATCACCTTTAGTATGGCATATGAATGTCTTCTTTAGGCATTTAAAATCATTTTCTGAATAATTTGGGTTTTAACTACATTTGTGTGATTACATTCCAGACGGTATGATTAATATAAATAAACCACTTGTGCGACCATTGTGCAGCTGCAGGCATTGGCTGATTAATCTCACAGCATCCTTAAGAAGCAGATAACTAAGCACTATCAATCCCTGTTACAGGATTGACATGTTAAGCGTAAGAAACATAGGTGAGGTGACATGAATTTTTCATTCAAGAGCATAGCACAAAGAGGAAGCCAGTGGGAGAGGCCAAAGGCAATGTCCCTTCTCTGCATCTGTACCAGTCCGTGCTCCTGCTTTGAGCATTCTTCACCATTTAGAGGTTACTGTCTCCTGTAATGATTTGGTTTCTGCTGGTCTATCCCTGTAGCTTGATATGCTCACATGCATGTGTGAGTGCGTGTATTGAAAATATATATAATACATTAATTCATGCATTGCTGTGTGTTTATGAGGAAGTTTTCAGAACCTCCTAAGCCACAGCAGCAGGCTTTGCACAGTCATCATCTTTGGACTGGCAAAGTCCCAGGTTGAATGTGCCAGTGATGAGCCATTCAACAGGATTATCCATTTTACAAATGCAGATGTTTCCGTGTACCCGTGGGTGCAGAGATGCCCTGTGCAGACATATAGTGATCTAACATTTGTCTTCTTTGCAGATATATAAAAAATTGAAAGCTGTGCAACACATGCAAGTTTATAACATTCAGGATATTCCAGACAGGTTTTTCTACAAAAAAGGGAAATTTGTGTCTCCTCTGACTCTCGTGGCTGAGGAAGGATGGTTCATTGTTGAGGTAAAGTACAAAAGCAAAATTCTTAGACATGAATGTGAAAAGGTGCTATATATGACAAAAATATGAAAAATGTACAGTTTTGTGCTGTGCATTGACTTAAAGTGTTACATCATTTACCTGGGCTGACTACAGTGCTAATGTCAAATATAGCTGTGTGCTTGAGAGAACCCTTAAGGCACGGCAGCTGTGCTAGAAGCAGGCAAAGTTAAATAGTCAAGACTACTCATTTTTCTGCATCATCATAAAGGAGGAGGAGGAGTTTTTGTATTTACTATTCCAGTTCTGTTGCTTTACTCTTCTTCCTCCTGTCCCTCTACCTTCATCTCAGACACAAAAGGGTGTTTCCATTTCCATTTCCTATCCTTCCATTCAGCAGTATTTTGTGGCAACTTTTCCTTCTGCCTGGTTTCCCACCCACTAGACTCTGTCCTAAAAATACCCCATTTGTCCCAAGCCCTCCAGTCTCAAAAGACTGGGGATTTACTCCTCAGAGATACCCATTGCACACACTGCAAACCTGGTTAAGCAGAGAATTGCTTAGACTTGCACAAGAAGAGATTTTTCATACCAACTTTTTTTTTTTTACTATGAACTTATTATTAGCAGTATGATTGTTGATAGTAGTATTATTTTGTACTTATATTCCTACTGAGCATCTCCACACCATAGACAATAATTGCATCTCATCACATCTCAGAGGTTTGGGCAACTTACACACCTGGTAAGTGGCTGTATTGAGGAGCAGTACTAAGTGGTTTGCCCAAGGCCATATGTTAAGTCAGTCATTTGGCAGCAGAATCAAAGATGTGCTTTTGTAGTGTCCCAGCACCATAATTAGATCAGGTTGCCTCACAGATCTTGTAACTTGGCTTAGCATCTTCTTCTGTGACCTTCAGAGGTGCTGGGCTTTGCTCAAGACAGTTCACACTGCCACATTTCTCACTAGCCAACATGACTTTAGGATAATAATTTCTACATTTAGGATAATAATTTCTAAAAATGCATTTCTAGAAAAAACCAGGCCAATTTTTTTTGAGTACAGACAGGTAAATACCAAGTTTTTGCTTAAAAAAAAAAAAAAAAAAAGTATTAAAAAGCCAGATTTAAGATTCAGATTCATAAAGCAGGAACATGAAACATTTTTGGTGAAATTATTTTTTAAATTACAACTAAATTATTTTGTACAGAAGTTCAACACTGAACATTTTTACATATTCTGTAAAAAAAGCAACAACCAAAAAGGCACTTGAAAAATCATTGAAACTCTGACAAACCTTAATAACAGTGCAGGAAACACTGCTGCTATGGTAATTACTCCTGTCTCTCTGCCCATTCCTTCCCATTGTTTCTGATTTTCAAGAATGTCCTCTCATTAATGCTGTCAGATTTTCCTTCTCCTTGGTACATTTTCATTATCTGTGAATGGGATGTGAAAATGAAAGTTTCCTGTCATATTTTTAAAGCAATAATTGAGCCTTCTATTATATTTCCTGTGCAAACCACTGAAGAGAGAATGTTCAGCTTTTCTCCATCACGCTCATAGGGTGTTTTAACTCTCTGTCAGCTAGTGGATAGGTAAAAGCTGTTTGAAAACAGGGGGATTTAAATTACTTTTTTTAGAGAGAGAGAAAGAGAAAGACAAGATCTATCTGGAAAGTTGATGTTTGTTTATTTGTTTGTTTGTTTTTTCCTATCATAGGGCATAGGAACAAAAGCTCGTCCACATTTCAGTTAAAGCAGGATGAGGAGGGATTTCATGCATCTCCAGCTGTATCAAAGCTGGTCTACTAATATTACCTTTTTTTTCCTCCATGAATGAGAGGTCCCCATCCCCATCCTTTGAAGCAGAATTTCCCCCAGCTGCTCTCCTGTGTGCAACAACAGCATTAGTCCACAGGGCTGTGTGCTCACCCTGTACCCATCCAAGGGTACTTTCCCAGGTTTTAGGGAACAAATGCTGTGCTGCTTCTAACCATGTACATGCAAGGAAAAGTCCATTGTCAGCAATCCCAGCCATGCCTTTGGGTAGTAGTGCTAGCTCAAGCTTAGGCTGAGCATGAAAAATTAACATCTCAGTTGTGAAAGGAAGTATTAGGTTTTCTGACCCAATTAGCAGCAAAAATAATGGCAGTGGCTATGTCTTTGCCTGCACCTCTGGCTGCAAATAGGTATCTCGTGAGGTCTGGGTGGGTGATGGAAAGCCACACTCCCTCCTGTGTTTGACATCACTGGGGAAGCTGCTGAGCCCGCGACATCTGACAGCACCGTGGAGAGGTTTAGCTTCAGCAGTGTCATGTAAGTGCCAAAGAAACACTGCAAATTAGATGTGACTTAGCTTGTCTGGAGCTGATGCTAACAGGTGCTGTACAGGTGTGTCTAGAGGTGAGCAGCTCACTGGCAATTTGTTCCTAGGAACCACAGTAAGCAGAGCCACAGTGTAACAAGGTCCTATGGTAGGAAGAGGGGTGGGCGTCTGTTTTCTCCTTGGCTTGTTCTGGGTGCTGTCAGCAACATAGATGGGGACAAGGAAAGAGACTTAATTTGTCAGCTGAAATTGTTTAATTATCAGGTACATCAACTGACTATTGCATACAGAGAAAAGCTAGGGATGCTCTGGGGGTTGCCCTGGAAATCAGTCAGAAGAGCTACACGTCATGGCCATAATTGTTGCCATCCTCAGTGCTCCTGTGCATGGTCCGTTTTCTTTTTGGCCAGATGAGGGAAACAAAACCAGGCAAAAGTAATGTTTGTAAAAGGAGAGAGCTCCTCAGTCAACCTACTTCACCATCTGCAAGGGTTGCAGCACCACTCAGTGGACGTGGGAATGTGGGAGACTTTGTTGGGGCATCTTCCATGCTCCTGTGATGGAATGTGAAGCCCAGACCTGGCCACTTTGGAGAACTGTAGCTCCTTCTCTGTAATCATTGGTGAAATTAATGCCAGGGGTCTAAAGAACTGTCAGCTGATGTTCTTCGTTTAAGTGAAATTTGTGCCATAGTTTTGAAGTGTCTGAAGTGTCACTTCATATCTGAAGTGTCACATCAGATGCCATTGCTAGGGAGCATGAGACAAGAGAAATTAATGGAGAGCATTTTGAGCAGTCCCTAAGGACTGCTGCTCCCAAGCAGGCCAGGATATGGTGCTATTTGTAGGTAGGCTGGTAAGAGCTGTGAGTATGGAGCAGGACAAAGTAAGGAAGGAATTTAAAGGTATGACTACAAGGAAAAACAAGAATTACGATGATAAATTATTAAAGCATGGACACTGAGCAGTGAGATAAACTGAGTGGTGTATGCCAGGGAGAAGGGGACCGTCTTAGGTCTGCGTCTGCATTCCCTGGAAAGAACCTCATTGCTTTAATACTAAAGCAGGGAGAAGAAATAATAATAATTAGAAAGTATACAGTAGAGATGGTACTTGTATTGTTTAGGCTCACTGGCTGTTTTTTCTATGGTGCCAGTGGCACATTGGGCAGAACACACCATCAAACCCCTGGGAGTGCGAGGTGTCAGGTGGGAGAGCAGCAGGGAGGGAGACCACCTTGCTGAAACGCGTCACCTATGGTTCTGATACTTCGTGCTCAGATGAGTGAGAGGCAGAAAGTCGCCCTCCTTGCTCAGCCAGGAGATGGCTGCCCACTGAGACAGCACAGCCAGGGGCAGCCCTGCCCAGCACCGAGCCCTGCGCAGCAGGGTGCGGGGCCGGAGGGGCTGGAGCAGCACCGGGCAGCGTGGCACAGCGCCCTGCCCCGCAGCACAGGCAGGCACTAACTCTGCTTCCTCACCCAGAGCAGGGACAAGCTGCCCTTCTGGGGGAACGGGCCAGGGCGGG